AATACTTTTATTTATTTTTAATAATTATATAATATTTTTTATTATTTAAATATTAATTATAATATATTTTTTACTACTGGAAATTTTATAAACTAAATTGTATAGTTCAAGAATGTATTAATTATATAATTATATATAATTAATATAAAATGTATATACTTATTATATAGAATATTTTATGGAGTATATATATAAATTAATACAATGAATTAAATTATATAGCTCCACCATCATATGAAGAATCAACTAATGGTGCAAGAAGTTTATGGGAGCGTGGCGAATCTGAGCATATTTTCGGTATATCGAATCGTTTTTCGCCTAAATATCCTGTTTTCAATTTTGCAGCAGTTTAGTGAGTAACAAGAAAAAGTAATTTGGTGCTTTATTTAAAAAGAGAAAAATGAAAATTTTATATGTATCTCAGCACAGTCTGTAGAGCATATTTTAAGCTTTAATTGAAATTAAGGGCTCATAATGATCGTGTGTAATCAAGTTGATAATCTAATTGTTATGAATGAAATGATGTCTTGATTATATTTTTTTAAAATAAAATAAGTTTTTAATAAGAGTACTGAAAAAATGGTTAACCAAAGGAGATCCTAAGAAAATAGTCATATTAAATGCTTTTTAAAGAATGAGTCGATAATTTAATTTATACAATTTAAAAAAAATTTTTTTTAATTAAAGTGCGAATTATTATATTAAATGTTAAATTTTTGAACTAGTCTCGAAGTTTATGTATCTAGAATAATTAAAATGCACAATACTCAAACGATATTTATTATTATATTATACTATAATGTTAAAATGATTGCTTTTTTAATATGCTGTGTATATTTTCTTACGAAAAATTTTATATATATGAAAGCAATTTAAAGCAATATTAAATTTTTAAATACTGCCGATACTAGAATTCAGTTTTTATGCGAATTTGTTTGAATCACGTTTATATATATACATATATATATAATATATATATATGTATATTATTAATTATATCAATTATATCAAAAATATTATATATAACAAAGATATAAAATTAGAAAATTTGTATTTATATCTATTTTGTTGTCAATAAAATGTATGTTTTTTTATACATTATGGCATTATTTTCACTTAGCATCATCATATTGCTGAATAGTATGTTAAAAATTAAAACAGTTTCTTCATTGCATAAATTTTGGAGAACAAGTGTAGACAAGGAGACAAATAGTGAAAAAAAGACAGAAATAATATAAAAATATTGAAATCAGCGCCATCTTCAGAGTGCCGCAAATGAAACTCATAAAGAAAAGATAGAAAATATTTAAAAAAGGATAGAGATAAAATAAGAATTGGCCATTAGCGCTATCTCTTGAGTATTCTTAAAAATAACTCTTCAAAGAGTAAAAATAACTTTTCAAAAGGTAAAGTAGAGTAAAAATTGAATATTAGTGCCATCTTTTGAGTGTTTTATATTATTCTATTTTAGAGAGATATTTTTCATAATCAATAGATGTCGTTAATAATCAATTCTTATTGTACCTATCTTTTCAATATTTGCTTTTCTTGTTTCATTTACAATACTCTAGAGATGGCGTTGATTCTTGAATTTTTAATCTTATCTCTATCCTTTTTCAACTATTTACTTTTTTTGTTTATACTTGTTCATTTCTTTTTGATATGAAAAAATATATTGATTTAGATTTATTTTATATTTTATTTATAATTTAAATTTGTTTATGAAAATTTTTATCTATTGCAATTATAATAGTTAAACAAAAAAATTATAGAAATATAATAATTTATTTATTTTTTTAAAAATTTAATTTTAGTAAATAATGCAAATATATTAAAAATAAAAATATGTTACATTTTATTTTCTAGTCACGACATCAATGTTTATCAATTCTTCGTTGATCATGTTTTGCGGAAAGATTTCTATCGATAACTTTATTTTATCGAGGAATAATTCATCATACGATATTTCTTATCTATTCACTGGATCTAAATAATATACGACTCGATTTTGTGCTGTTATATTTTTATTGCGGAATATATTTTATCACTGGCTAAATATTAAATTCATCATGCCTTTCTCACATTTTTCATATTTCAAATTTCAATAAATAACAATCATAAAATCATTAATTTAAATTATTAACTTAAATTTATTAAATTTTTTTCAATATTTAATAATTTTGTATTTTTATATCGTTTATAAATAATATTATTTCAGAATTTTATTCTTTGTTTAATATAAATTATATTTTATGTTTCATATAAAAATGTAAAAAAGAATGACATAAAATATTTAAAAATGTCGGAACATATCATTCTGATTCGTTATGACTCTATCACACTGCATAAGCTTATTACTATTGTGAAAATGGATATCCATTTATTTCTTTTATCGTCAGAAAAAAATGATATAATATAAAATTAAATCTATTTAAATAAAAAATATTTTATGTATTATTTGATTATTATATGTCATTATTATATTCTGTATCATTGTATGATATGTAATCGTAGTATAATAAAGTAAATAAAAAATAAGTGGATATCTACCTTAAAAAGATCAAACAAAAGCTTCGTTGATTCGAGTTTTAACAAGATCTTCCATGACATCGTGAAGTGAGTCGAACATTGACGTATCGCGGTCACAGAAGTATCGTGTTTCAAACTCTATGCTCTTGTGTATATATATATATATATTATGATGCTATGTATCGAGTTAGTTTACTAGTTGGACAAATGAGGCGCTAAATGTCAACCAATTTTAGTATACCACTAAATAACGATCTATTGTTATACCTCTTGAAACGTAAATGCTAATTAAAACGACGCAGTTCTAAATTGAACATATTGGTTTATCCAGTTTAACTCTCCGATATTCTAATTTAAGCTATTTCCATATTTGCAATTTATAATAGGATAGAGCAACGTATTATCACGATTCCACAACGATTCGATGTATTAGGTATGTATATAACAGCGAATTTCCAAAACACGATGATGATTATATCCTTGATAATTATTATTACATATAATTCGAAGTTCTGATATTATTCTATTTTTACACTATATTATGATTATTAAAAGAAGTTCAACAATTCATTGCTTACAATTTAAATATTTTAGATTGATTTGAATAAAGCGATATTAATATCGAAATGTGAATATCATGGCGTTTACGATATGTTCGAATGAAGTTAATGTTCGATTTTTGTTCATTTGATAAAAAATCAGTTATTTGAAGAATTAATGAATCTCTAATAAATAATATTGAAAGACATTTATGTTCATAAAATAATTATTTACAAGTATAATTACTTAATTATAGGTTATTTTTATTTGAATTTTAAAAAAATATTTTCTTATTAATATCATATATCAATTTAATATTTAACTAATATAAAATATAAGATCATTAAACATAATTTCTTTATTGATAATGTTTGATTTTAAGATAAGTATGGAAAAATATAAACCCTGAAACTTACTGACAAATTAAGCATTCACCTAAGGCTGATCGATTACGTATATGTATCACTGGACGGTTTTGTGTCCTTGAGAGTAGGAAATGAAATATTCGTAAGCTATAGTCTAACTTGTACGGATGTTCAACTAAAAGGAATAGTATGGATTGCGATGAGAGTGGACGGCTTTTATTATTTGAGAAATTTCATTATGAAGAACGATTGCATGTGTCGTGAATTGTCTTGAATCTGCGCTAATAATAAGTATATGAACATTTAAATAATAAAATTTTATTTTAACAATAATATTTTGTTTGAAAATAATATTTCATAATATATATTTGTTTTATTATTTTAATGAATTTAAAAAAATTACTTATGGATAATACTTTAATTTTAAATTAAATTTTTAAATTATTTAAAATATTATTTCTAATAAAAAAATTTAATTTTTCCACTTATAATATTTTAAAAATTCAATGCAATTCAATGATTTAAATGTTTTATTATATTAAATTAGATTTTTAAAAAGTCATTATTAGTTGAAGTATACAATCATCTCCTGATAATCGTTTTTGCTCTCTTAAATTATTCAGAAGCATAATCCTTTAATTATTAATTATTAATTATATTGAATAATATATTTTCCTTTTATCGTTGCTATTTAATCTAAATGGTTACTATAGTTTATTCGAAATCAGCCATCTGACACGAATAACTTTTCATAGAATATAATTTTAGTTTCAAATCCTATTGAATTAGTTCAGTTTTGCATTTTACTATAGTACATTAGTTTCATTTTGATAAGATAATCATATCATAATGTGAAAATACATTTTTGATAGTTGAACGTAAAAAAATTAGCTTTGAGATACATTATAGAATAAAAGTTTTGATAGATGTTTTATAGATGTTTTGATAGAATTTTAATTTTTAAATTATTGGATTTTTTAATATAATAGATTGAAGAAATTGTCGATAAAAAAAGTTGATGAATAAAAAAAATAGAAATAAAGAAAAAATAAAAAAATAAAATAGAATATTTGATAAATAATTATATATTAAATATTCTATTTTTATTTAAATGTAAGAAATAATTTTAAATTTTAAAGAATAAATCATCTTTGTTTACGAATGGTCTGGTAAGATTCCAAATGTTGCAGTTGGCGCGCCTGCTTAATGAACGAAGGGGCACGATGCGCGTGAGCGTATGCGCGTTAAGTAGAGGCGCGCGTGTACGCCTCCTGTCAGAGTTGTCCGTCCGTAACGCCGCAGGACGAGTTGTCTCCGTAGAAAAGCCGCCTATGGTGG